TTTGAAGAAGTATAATATTTTATTAAATTTCAATTTATAGAAAAAATTTACAAAAAAAGGTGTTTTTGATATAATATTTAAATATGTATTTATTTTTATTTTTAATTATTATCATATAGATATATTTTTCGCATTTTATATATTTTATTACAATTGATATATAATTATCTTTTTTTACGATAATCATATACATACAGTAATATGAATTTTTTTATTTTGGGTCTTCTATATTTATTAATATATTGGGTGGCTCGTAACTCGTAAGTATATTCTTGCTGGCCACCTCTGTTATAGATTAAAAAACATTTTGATCAAATTAACTTAAAATTAAATAAAATTCTACAGCTTAAGGTGTAGGTAGGCACGTAAAAAGCGTTAATGCATTAAATATTACACATTATAATATGATCGTTTTTTTTTTATTTATTTTCTAGACGTATAGAAAATACGTTTTTTTTTCATCTTCCTTCTTTTTGAGATATACAATCTTCATTGATATAATACATAATATTAGTATTCTCTGTTTAAATGATACATATTACATAGTATAACTTTTAGGTAACTGTACTCAAAAAAAATAGTGAATTCTTAAACAAAGAGAATATTTATTTTATACGATTACACAAAAAATTCTACAGAGAGGTCAGTGAAATGTATACATGCGTAAAAAAAATGTTTGAAGAAATATCAGGAAGTGCAAATTTGCCCAGCTTTTTTGGAATAATTTTAGTGTTGCTGTTTTAATTTATTCTTAACACACCGCTAATCTTGTATTAATATGACCAAAGTGAGTTGAGCACCCGTTTGAATTTTTATTTTTTATTTTAATTATACTGTATCGTTCTAAAATTCACGATAATTATAATATATTTTAATGATACGAGTTTGTTATGAGTAATGAGAATAATAATTGTATGTAGTAATGATATGTTTATTGTTTCATCATAATTTTTTTTCGTATATATTCGTAAATATAATTTTGCTGTACATCGAGATTTTTAAGAGAATTAGAAGACGGCGACAGCAGCGTTATTAAAAAATTAAGAATGATAAAACCATACGGAGCTGATCTTTTAGTAGAGAAAATTGAATGCACGAACCACATTTTGCGAAATTAATCGATTCGTCTTAGGGATTTTTCTACTAAAAGGAAAAGTTCATCTGGAAATATTGTACCCGGCTTTATCAGAACGAAATTAAAAGAAAACTTATTGAGATTACGGTAAGTAAATAATTTTGATACCTATATTTTATATTTGAATATACATTATAACATTTATAACATTATAACACGAAATATATATGCTTTACTAATTTGTAAAATAGACAATAATATTTATGATATATCTATATATTGTACCTTATATGTATTTTGCATAGTTTTGCTGTTTCAGAGGCGATAATGTATAAAAAACAGATGAATATACCACACGATGAAAAAGTCAAACAATTGAAGACTGATACATTGAATGGACCTTTTCTTGAATTTGGATCTCATGACAAATGCGACGGGTATAATACTATAATAATTAATAGATATTTTGTATCATATATTGCAATTTTAATTTGTATCTAGGTATTTTTGTACGGGTAGTAAATCTAATGAGATTGATTTAGTTTTCGAATTACAAAATTGTGGTGTATGGAATGATTTGATATCAGCTGTAAATTTAGTGGCATATCATGCTAATAGTTTGATACATCATGTAAATAACAATTATGTTGAAGGTTACAATAGTATAGTTGCAAAATATGTTGGGGGTAAACGCATCAACTATTCGTTTAAAGGTAAATATTTTATTTCATGTACTTACATGAAAGCAAACATTGTGTACATTGTGTACAACAACCACAGATATATACTAATACTAGATAGCCGTCTTCGTATACACCGCCGCAAAATAATTGAAACCGACGGCCGACGCCATATGCAAAGAATACAACTCGGTAAATAAACGTTATCAATATTAGACTTTTATCAGTATAATACATATTATTTTATTATAGACATTTATTTATATCATTGTATTACTTAGTACTTACCTATATTTTATTATTTCTCACTTTTTCAGTTCTCTGTTTTATAGTATTAGACAAAACTGTTAATTAACCTATACAGTATGTATTTATACTAATCTACGTAAATTTGGGATATAACTAAATTGTAATGTTTTATGAATTATGAAATATGAAATAAGGGAACATTGTCAAAAATACTAGGATATAAATTACAGATACTACCTTATTATAATTACTTATATTATTAACAAAAATAACAATTAGTAAACAGTAGGTAATACAAATATAAGTAGGTAGGCACATACAACATTATTATAAATATATTATTAAACAAACTTAGTTGTGTATAAAAAAAGGTAGTTACATGACATTATTATTATTTAAAAAAACGACGAATTTGTACACTTAGCAAAAAAACGTAAAGTAAGTGTTCATATAATTATTGATTATAAAAAAGAATAGTTTTTGTTAATTTTTGGCGTTTACTCACAGGGTTTAATAAGTCTGATGATGAGAAATGCTGTTACATTATTTTTTAATTAGTTATTCTATAGAATACACTTATAAAAAATACATTTTATGATTTTACATGTTCTCTTTTGGTTGGGTATAGTTATAAAGAACAACATTATTAAATCATTTTATCACAAGTCATTACTCATGTACTTTAAAAATTAAGTAGTTATTTTAAGAAAACATTTTTTTTTTTATACCTATGTTTTTTAAATTATCTAAGAGCCCTTTCATATTCTTTATTGTGGCTTCTCGTCTTCTTAATTTTTGTTTTAAAAGCCGAATTTGTTTTTTGTACTTAGTTGGAGTACTAGTTGGAATTTTTGGTGACACAGGGAAACTAATTTCTGAACGCATTTTTTTTGATGGAGTAATTAGTACAGGGGAACTTGTTGCTTTTGGCATCTTAGTTTCTGTCCATGACCAAACCCATGACTTGTCTTTATTATCATCATCACTTGACGATAATAATAGTCGTTTTCTTGTTGGTGTTGTAATTAAGACATCTGACTGATGCATAGGTGATTCACTGGATATTGAAGCTGTAGATAGTATACAATTTTTTAAAATTAACTAAATATACATAAAACATGTTATTAAATGTTGATAATGATTAATGATTTACTTGATGCTACAGGTCTGCCAGGAAAAACTGATGGCACACTATTGGGCTTAAGTTTCAACTTGTAACTGCCTCCTGGACTATTAACAAAATCTGTTTTTAAAAAATGGATGTTACATATTCGGCTCGACTTCTTTGGTATAAATCCTTGACGATTTATAGCCAACATCCATTTTTCCAAACGAATTCCATCATTAATTGGAAACCTAGATATAATATTTAAATTGTATTTAGATATCTACTCTAGTTTCAAAACATAAAAAATTTTGAATTGTACATACGTAAAAAAGTGGAAATCGCTATCAGTACTTCCTCGAGATTTGCAATTTGGAACAACGCAACAAGTAGGCATTATGAAGTTGTAAAAAAAATGTATAATAGCTATAAATTATAATTTAATTTACTATTTACCAATAATAAGTAATTTATTATTCAACTAGAATACTGAACGACTGAACAGAATATCATAATATTATTGTTGTTGTTTACTAAGTGATAACGTTTGTTTACCGAGAGTATTCTTTGCATATGGCGGCGTGTTTCACTGATAACAAGAAGACTGCTATCTAGTATTAGTGTATATCTGTGACAACCATAGACATATAATAGATTATATGTCTATGGTGACAACAACAGGTATGTTATTTTTGCTAATAGCCCACATAATAAAATAATGTGTTCTCAGAATCTCCGCCCTCACCGTTCCCCACCAGTGAGATGGTGTCACTAACACTAATGATTAATTACTACGCACACACTTGTAAGCTTGCACGCGCCCTTTATATTATTGCCTATACTAAACTCCTTAGAAATGTACGTTTGCAATCCTCTTAATAGTATTTATTAATGTTATTATATACCATTATAAGTATGGCAGTCAATAAGGGTTTCATACAATTATAAATTGTTTGATCATTTGTCATTAATTTATATTTATAAATTAATTCTTCAATAGTAGGTAAGAGATGTTCAAAATATATGTTAGTATCACCTTGAAGTAAATCCAAACTTATTAAAACTGGCCCCATTATTGTTTGATATTGACACATAAAATCAATATTAGTTCTATTAAATCTGAAAAAATTATTTATAAAAAACATAAATAATTAAATATTAATAAATTAATATTATATTGTTAGAATTTATAAATTACCTAGCATTACCCAATTCATTCATTACAATTCTAAATTTGGGTTCATTATTTTTTATTAATTTATTAATCAACATCACCGCATCATACAATGAATTTCAACGTGTTTCGTTGGGCGTGATTAAATAAACGCCAAGATTTTGTTTAACTAAATCAGCTGATTTAGTTAAGCGACCTTGTTTATTCCACAAAGTGATAGATCTGGCAAGTGTTTCTAGATAGTTTTTTAAAAGCAGGATTAGACAAAGTTTTTTTAGAGTCCTGGAAATAAGTTACACAAATAAATTATTTTATTTGTACAAATCTGTAATATATAATAAAAAAAAATTAAACAAACATAATTTAATGATATTTAAGACTGGAATTTAAATAGATAATATTTAATGTCAAGCATAACTTTACTCATATCGGAGAATATTTTGTTATATTTTTATCATTTAAACTATTTAAAGTTTAAACTGACAAAAAAAAAAAAAAAAAAATGTACTTATTTAAATATGTATTTTATATCTAAAGAGTATTTTAAGACTGCTAAATAAATATTCATTATTATTATATTCAAAACCCAATCTTTTCTATAAAAATATTTTGTATTTTATTTAGCAAAATTATAAATAACAAATTCTATATTTTATAATTTAAATATTTCAGGTTAACTACTTAAAAACATTTTTAATTACCACTGTTGCAATTAAATTAATTGTATGTGTACATCATCGATGGTGTTTAAGTAAAGTATATTGCAAATCAAAATCATTGTCTTCATCATTTAGAATGTTCAAGTTTATTACATCAATTTCTTCTAAATCTTCATTTATTGAATCGTTCACTGGTAATCTAATAAAACTTTCAGCATTTTCATTACCAAATATATGACCAGATATTCTAAACAATAAAAAAAACTATAGTGGTTAAAACAGGGTTAACTAAATGGATTTTGTTAGAAACAAATGTTATGAGCAATAATTACAAATTAATAATTAATTACTCACTTAAAAAATTTTACAAAATTAGAACCATTGTCAGTAGTACAATAAGATAATTTACCTGAAATCTCAAACTGAATGTATACTGCATCCATAGCTTTGGCTAATATATCAAACGTATGTGAACCTTCTAGTCAATTCAATGCTAAAATACGAGTACTTCTTGAAAAATGTTCATTAATCCACATGACAGTTATTCCAATGTATGATCTAACAAAATATAATATTAAATTGGTATAATAATAGATAGGCATGTAACTTGTTAAATTAAATTAAACAAAACAATTTTACTTTTTAAAAATCGACCAACCGTATGCAACCATAGCAATATGGGGACATTTGGACATCTCAAATTTCATTTGTAAGGATAATTCTTGAAAATCACTCAATTTTTTTCAATAATGTAAGCCGAGAAATAATTTTTTTGTTTGGAAAACCTTCAGAAATTATTTCCTTTAAAACTGGATTTTCAATAATTCTAAATGGTACATTAGCACTCACAATAAATTGTTGCAGTAGTTGATCTAAAGTAGGTACCTGAAATTAAAATTATAAAGTACTATGATAAATAATTTGTAAGTATTAATTAATTATAAGTAATTAATAGTTAAAAATTAAAAATTATTATTTTTCACTTGATAGTAAAATATATTTGTATGTTTATGTTTGTCAAATTTCTGTTTAAATGTATAAAGAATAATATTGTATAGGTATATATTAAAATAAAAATTTGCTAAAGCTCCAATATAATAAATCAGAATTAAAAGTGGGTAGGTAATTAAATCATAACACTAAAATATCTCAACATATCATGCACGTTGTAAATCAATAACTGTACTTTTGTTTTAATGACCTAACTTGAAAGTGCAATAACTAATAACTATTTAATAGGATAAAAAAAAAAAAATAAACAATTCATATTCTTACTTTGACTAGTAAACTTTTTGTTCTTCAAACAATCTTCTAAAACTGGTTGTTTTGTCTCGTTATTTTTATCTGATTGCTTTAAAGAATTACAAGCATTATTCTTCAATGATCCATCATTAGATCTTTTTGAAATGTTTTTGTTTGCTACATTATCAATTGTTTTTAATAGATTTGGATGTTTTGTCTGAATACAATTAAATAATATAATCTTTAACTCTTAACAAATAATTTATATTTTTGTAAGTAAGAACTAAATTGTGTATTTGTGTGGTATTTAAAATTAATTTAATACACACAAGACAGATAGTGCTTACGCTTAAATGTTTTTTTAAATTACAGTTGGAACGTGAATCCACCTAACACTTTGTACCGACACAAATTAAGCACTTAACTTCCAACTTTTTATAAAAAAAATTATCCTCAATGACTCTTAATACTTTAAAATATTTTTGAAAATTTGCCCATGGTAAAATTGGTTCTCCTAAATCTGCAACCTGATCTACTTCGTTCGAAGAATTACAATAACTCATTGTATTAACCAAGCAGTTTTAATATCGAACCGTTTGCTGCTATTAATTTTACACTATCCATTGGTTTTGGCTTGATTTCCAAAGGTAAGTTATCAACATCAATTATACACATGGTAGCCCCAGTGTCTATTACAAAATTATATTGTTTATTATTAATATTGCATATTACCTCAAGTCTTAGACCTGGTTCAAATGCAGCCGGATTACATGTCGTAATATACTTATTTATTGTATTGTCATTAGTTTTTCGTTTTTCATCTATTATTTTTTAATACTCATAAATCATATTGAATACTATTATAGTTGCTAGATGTTGATATTTTATTTTCATTTTATAAATTACTTATATTATAATCGTCTATGTCAATTTTATTTTGCTTTTTGTTTTGTTTTATGTATTTTTTAAATTTTTGTGTCGGAAACGAGATCACATCATTTTTAAATTTTTTTCCAATTATTGAATCTAACAATGCTATATTACAATTTTGTGTTTCGGTAGAACTTTTTTTGTTGGCACAGAGGGAGCCTAACCGCACTCTCTCGATTTAAAAGTTTTTTTGATTAGTTTTATAAAACGAAGCTTTATTCGTATTAATTTTATTATCAAACATTTGATTATTAGATTGTTGATTTGTGACATTATTTACGTCTACATTTTTACCTGTGAGCCGTATTCAATCGATTTTGATAATTAATAAATTGTGCTCAGTTTAGGACGTTTTATAAGAAAAAATATAATTGAAAAAGTCACTATCACCACCACGCATACCTATATCTGTGTATTGTTACGCGCTGGATTTTTTTCATATGCATCTACTTAATGGATGTCGTATGATGACTGTAGTATGTAAATATAATGTCATTGTTAATAATGGTCGTATATATATGAGTATTAATATAATATACAAAATTTAAAACGATCAAGTATCAAAGATATAATATATTTCGAACCGTGGTGGTGATAATGACTATACATTACCTTTAATAAATGATTTTTTTTAAAAATATTTTTAATACAATATCTGGGCAATATTATTAGTATAGATGATTCAAAAAAAAAAAAATAGAACAATTTTAATAAATATTGCTGTGTTTAGCAATTATTTTATAAAAAAAACATTTAGTGAAATAAATTAGATTAAATAAAAATAATAATAATATAAAAATTAATTAATTATTAATTATGTAATTGTTAGAATAAATGTACTTCACAATATTTTAAATGTATAATTTAAGCTAATTTATCATTTGATGATTATTAATTATGTATAATAATGTAATATTAATAATTTGCAATAAAAACATAATATATTATGCAGATTATTTTGTATAAATACTTCACAATTTACATTTCTCAATATACCTTGGACATTGTATACATTGTCCGCAGGGCCGGCTTTAGATACGATCGACGTGTGTGACGATACAGGGGCGTCAAAATCAGGGGCACGCGCGAGAGGCGTTAAAATTAGAAAATTTTAGAAAAATTTCTTTATAATTTCAGTAAAATTCTAGCTTAGAAAAGGATGAATTACTAAAATATTGCGCTGATCTCCAAATAGCTTTGATTGATCGGTTAGAAATTGAAGCAGTTTTTCTTTGCGACGAATTAATTAGCATACAACACTTCACCAAAATCAACGATTGCAATTCACCCCTCGATGTACTTAACTAATTTAAAAAAATCAATTAGAGGATTTATACCCCTTAATATGGATTTCATTAAGAATTTTGTTTACCATACCGGTCACAGTCGCAAGTGGAGAAAGAAGTTTCTCCAAACTTAACAAAAACTTACCTTAGGTCAAATATTGCACAAGCCACATTGACATCCCTAGCTACACTGATTATTGAAAATGCTTTTGCTCAAAATTTGGACTTCTCGGAACTAATTAAAGTATTTGCAGATAAAAAAGCAAGAAAAGTAAACTTACATTAGATTTTTTTTATATTTAGTACCTCTGTAACAAAGTATTTTACTAATAATAAATTATATTTTATATTGATAATTACTATACAATAATAACAAAACTAAGAAAGTATATTTTTTTGAATTTGACTAATTTCCTTAATTTTTCCTGTTTAATGTTTAAAAAGAGTGTGAAGGGCACCGACATAATTTTTGCACTGGTCGCTGAAAAAGCTAGAGCCGGCCCTGATTGTCCGAATATTCCACTTTACCCGTAACATATTATATATACAGATAAAAATATAACATGCATGTATAGTGTATAATAAATCTTTATTATCTTACATTCGAAAATTTTTTTATTTTGACCTCTCTAAAATATTACTTATGGGCGCCCATGTAACGGCCGTACTCCCGCGCATTAACTGATACTACAAAATAATTTTTAAATTAAAATACAATTTTTTTTCGACATTTTACTACCTATGACAGAATTTTGACTGTTAATAATAAATTATACAAATGAAAGAAGAAACAAAAAGGTAATTTAATAAAAACTAATTATTTTAATGCAACAGTTATTCTTTATCTAAAATTTTTAGGTGAGGCACCGCCTCACTTGCCTTACACCAAAACCGCCACTGGTACAAAATTAAAAATTATCAAATAATTAAGATATAATATATTACGAACCGTGGCAATTAGTTTAATGGTTATATATATTAACTTACACAATACACGATATACAACAATTTAATTATTATTTCGTGATTATTTCGTATGTACGTACTGAATATCATAAAATGATAAATAATAATATTTATTTATATTATATTAATATATTTGTATTTATATTAATTATATTAATAATAATATTTTTTTCATCATTTTGTGATAATCATTAAGTACATATGAAATAATTATAAAATCATGATTTGGATTGATGAATGTACAATGATGATTGTAAATAATTTAATTGTTAATATATAATGGTTAGATATAATAATAATGTATTCGTGTATTAATATAATATACGAAATTAAAATTAATCAATTATTAAAAATATAACATAATACGTTATGATTATTGTTTTATTATTTTTTTATTTTTATTTAGCCACGCGCCTTGGGATCCCGCCTTAAGTGAGACGTTTACATCGATTGCAGGATCTAGGTCCTAGGACGTCTCGGCGCGAGACCGTTTCAGCGAAAATTATTAGTAAAAAAAATTGTAATTATAATGTAAAATTTGTATTTGATAATAAAATAAGTACCATGTTTATTTCAATTCATAAATTTAATAAATAAATAAATAAATAAATGAACCAAAATAGTTATAATTATTTATAGTCAATGTATGCGCTGTCGCGAGCTCTTGGCTAGCAGTTGGCTCGACAACTCGCACCGTATAATGGTTAAAAAAAAATACGAAGAATTTAAATTCACACAAGATTTAATAAATAGGATGACCTATACATTATAATATAAATAAAATAATAATTAAAGTATAATATTATTTATCAATCGATATTAGGTATATATACGTATAAATAAATGTACTGTACTACTGTGACTATTAAGAAGTTCCCTCGACAGCGCATATAAATCGCACGTAAATAAAAAATAATATGAAAAAAAAATATCGACCCCAGTGATAGGCTGAAAATCATAAAATTATCTGACTGGTTTACAGCCAGATCAACCATAAATTATTATCGACTATGTTCATAACAATCTCTCGTGTAATAATAATAACAATAATATTCGTACTAATAAAGAGATATCAAAATATTATTTCTATAACTCTCTGCACAGTGAAACAAACTTGTATAATTATCATAGACATAAGTTCATTGTTACGAGTATTTGGTCGAATTTATTACGCGCCGAAAAGTACCTTGACGTAGGTATCGCCGAAACGGTCTCGCGCTGAAACGGATGTCTTCGAATCGACATTTCGCCGAAACGTCCAGCGCCCAACTTTCGACGCCGAAACGTCCCATTCCCCCTACCCTGTACACTGCTCTTCGACGGTTGACGACCAGTTAGTCGTTAGTCAGGTGTCACTAGTCACTACTCCGTAGTCCGTACTCATTGCGACATTACTAATTATTGCTCTGTTGCTCACGACGGTCGCGTTTTGTTTACAGAACGCACTATAAATTT